TATGAGGCCGATGAAGCACTCGACGTATTTCCTGAACGTCACTGAGTGCTTTATCAAACAGCTCACATATCATCACCTTAGTATGGGTCTCTTCTTATTGCTCTATCCCAGGCAATGAGAAAGCAGACTCGCTGGCTAAGGTGGGTACTATGGAAGGCGACATTTACGAGCGACAAATCGCCTACAATGAATTTTTCACAATTGCTCGTTAGCAAGTCCTCATCAACTGGCAACAAAAGTGGAATGATGGTGAACTGGGAAGATGGTTAAATTCGATCCTCCCACAGGTGTCGATCAAACCCTGGTTCAAGGGATTGGATGTGGATCGCGATTTATCCGGGTAATGTCCAGGCTCATGTTCAACCACTACTCGTTAAACGCACACCTCTACCGCATAGGGCTTGTAGACAGCAGTTTGTGTGCCTGTAGAAACAGCTATCACGACATCGAGCATGTTATCTAGTCCTGCAGCTCACATCATGTGGCAAGATCTGAACTAATTGAATCCCTCAGGGCCCGACACCAATTAGAGACGTTCTGGCTTGCCGTGATCTTGATGTTATGAGATTAATTTTCGTATTTTAAAAAAAGGTGCTGATTTGTGTATGTAGTAGTGTTTTGTGTTTTAATTCTCTCATCACTATCCCAACCCAAGTCCCCTCTTGTATCATTTCAGCTGTGCTTTCAATGCTTCGATATCCACAGCACATGCCCGCCAATACAGTGCAGTGACACTCATCAGTCGAAAGAAGCAGAAAGAAGATTTACCAATATCCCTTTCCGCCGGCGCCGGTGGTGTAGTGGTAAGCGTGACTGCTTTCTAATACCCCAATGGATCTGGGTTCAATCCCAGCCGAGGTCGGTGGGAATTTTCTGAGGCATAAAAATCTCTGGGCACGTCTTCCTTCGGAAGGAAAGTAAAGCCGTTGGTCCCGGCCCATGTGTTGTTGTTGAATGGATGCGATATCCTACGCAGGTGTGGAAGCTGCCTTTCTGCACATTCGATTGCTGTCAATAGATGGCAATCGATATCCGTCCAGGGGGAACGACACTCATTTGGATGTATTTTTTCAGTCTAGTAATTACTTGGGATGTTCGGGGAAAAACATAATTGATGGGATTTTTTTGAGTGTGTCGTGTTGACGAAAATAGAGCATGGATAGAAAAAAATAGATGGGATAGATCAGGGAATGGATGTGATGTGAGGGGTGTTAAAAAGTTTCAGATGAATACAAGTCCGAACGCGAAGAGGATAGGTGTAAAAGGTGTAAAAAGAAGAAAAATCTGCTGCAATGCAGCGTCCATAAATTACGTGACGCTTATAGGGGGGGGCGGTGGTCACCTATATCGTTACGAATTATTACATAGGGCAGGAGGAGTAAAGCTTTCCGTTCCGTAACAACGAGAACATTTTGTTTTTTTTTTTTGTTTCTTGATGTAAAGTTTGAAAATACAGGTCAAAAAATGTCATCACAAAATCTTGCTTGCAAAATGGATATGTTTTAATTTTATGTCTTGAGATTTTTGCTATGCTTAAACTTTTGAAAAGCAGGTACCTGATAATACACTGATCTTTTGTTTTTATTTTGAATATTGATAATACAATTACCTAGAAATAAACAAGACATACTGGAATCAAAAATTAATTGAATGAGACGGGCTGGGGAGGGGGGGTTTGTATTTTAGAGCGTTACGTAATAAATAGAGGGGGATCATTTTCAGTGTAACGTTTTGTTCTAAAGGGGGGGGGGTCGAAAATATTGATTTTTAGCGTAACGTAATTAATGGATACCGAGCAACATTATACACTCAAAAAATTCAACACGTTTGATCGAAAGGTTTAAACCCTTGATTTTTTAAATGCACAATCACATTTACTTTAAGTGTATTTCACCTTGGTTCAATGTGTTATACACGTTAATTTCTGGTGTTTCAAACTTTGAAATGTTGAAAATCTTTCACTATCTATTCAAGTGTATTGCACATTGAATCACACTACTGTTCAAAACAGATGTATTTAAAGTGTTTCGCATTTCAATGCAATGTGAATTGCTTGCTCAGAAAGGTAAACATCGAAAACAAGAGTTGTGACTTTATCCTATCAACCCGCCTCATATATTAGAACAACCGTGGCACAGTGAGATCGAACGAAGACTCCGGCAGCAGCACACCCCAATAGTCCATGATCGAATCCCAAATCAGACCCATTAAAAAGATATGTGAAAGCTCTGGCCTCTGGAAGTATTGTTTATATATTTGTCGATTAATTATTAGAGTCGGTAAAGTAGAAGTCGATAAAGTAGAATATTGTAGAATATTGAACTATGATGTGCGAAGCTATTGATATCACCATATGAGGCACATAGAATCCAAGTGTGTCACAATTCAAATCCATAGTGTTCAGGCAAGGTTCATAGCATAAGATTCACACATGAAATGGATGTGTTTCACAATAAGCGCAAAATGAAGTGTGAGACACATGATGATGACGTGTGGAATTTTTTGAGTGTAGCTCCAGTGCAGAAAACGGTTCCGTACCAAATAGGTCGAAACTGCACAGCAGGAGGAACGGGTGGTGGCGATGGATCACTAGGTTCCGGTTAATATTCCCAGTTATATTTGGACGGGAATTTGATTCACAATATTCTCGCATATTAGCTCTTTCTTCTTCGAATCCAGCAGCAGCAACGAGCAAAACTTGGGCCGGTTGGAAAAATGACCTGAATTCCTTTTCCATCTGCTCTTATCCATCGAATTCGATCGGTTTGAGTCCGGGAAATGAATGTGCGTTGCCGTCTTCTCCGTGATGCACTTGATGTTGTCCCGCGACCGATTTTAGACGAGTGGTCCGTTATCTTTTTTAAGTTTTCGCACCGATTTTTAACCGGCATAGCCAGCTGACATGCATGTGTTTGTTGTGAAAATTGTTGAAAACTGACAGTGAGTATGGCAGAGTGCTTCGCGGTCGACCTGAAAACTTCGAGAAACTGCATGGCTTGCTTGACAATTTGTGTGCATGCAGAAGGGATAAGTTGGAAATAGAAAGAATAGATATGATGGATTTAAATTTTGTGCACGTTGAAAATTTTATGAGAGATTTTGGTAAAAATGGGATAATCCTGAAGTGTCGTTCCCCCTGTATCCGTCGGTGATTGGCACTAGATTGCGGAACAGAGACCGACGTTAAATAAAGTACAGAATATCCCTTTCCCTTTGTCTCCTTCCAATCCTCTAAATATATGTATTTATTAATCTCGAGTAAACCGCGAGTATTCGGCCCCCATTCTACTAACATTAGTTGTAAAACAAATTATAAAAAATTACATTTAAATTAATTTGGCTCAGCAAAGCTACCACATTTGAGCCTTTACAAATAAATGGATTATAAAAAAAAAATATCTCGATGAGCGAGTTCTAAGGACGGTACTAATGGATATTTTTGGTCGCTATTGAAAATTTAGTCGATTGCTGAATTTATGTATGGGCCTATTTAGGCCGACATTAAATTTTTTTATTAGTCAAATTATGATGATGATGGTGGTCCCACCTCTTACCCTTACAAAGGTTTGAGCTGGACGATTTATCTTTAAGATAATTATCGAACTGGTTTAAGTTACAGATATAAATTCCCTCTAGAGTTTACACTTGCTTCACAGCGATAAAAATGTGGAAAAGCTTAGGCGTCCACCTCTCAGCTCGCCTCTTTGTCCACCTAAAATATTCATAAGTATTACAAGCAATCAAGAGTTAATGAACAATCAATAAATCATCCTATTACACTGATAACCCCACAATCTGATGCTATCATAATTTTCAGCTATGTCAGGAATGCTCACGAACCCCCAACATTTGCCAGATAACTTACTACTAACTCAAGGTATCTTCCAAATAAGCTTCAAAATTGCATTTTATTTTTATCAAATGTTAAATTCAGTCCTCTATATTCGTAATACGCGTGCGAGGCTCAAACCGTTTTAGATTACTTTTTTTTTAATTAATCTACTTTTGAATCAAATATTAAAAATCCATCATCACCATCGAGGCGAACAGAAATAGATTTTGCAGTGCTACACTAATTATTAAAAAAAGTCGTTATGACAGCTATCCATATAAAATAATCCGTAGAGATAATATGTATCTATAACTTCGTCAAGATACATAATTTGTCAATTCATAAAAAAAATCACTGGATAACTGTTCAAAAGACAGATTAAACGTGTGAAATGCAGTGTCTTTTAAATTCTGTAAGTGTTGCTGAACGTTTGATATGTCTAGGCATCGGATTGAAAACATTTATTCCTTTATAATATAATGATTTTTGTGAAGCACAAGTCAAAAAATGTGGTGTTCTTGTTTCGGCCGCGTTTCTAGTATTATATCTATAAAAGTCACTTCCTCTTTCAATTCAATCACACAAATATCGAGGAAGCAAACCGTTAACTACTTTAAAAATGAACACCATAGTCAAATATACAATTCTTTACTTCACCGACAACCATTGTAAGGCGTCTAGCATCAAAGTTGAGGAAGTGAATCCATTTCCCCTACGAGTCTAATATTTTTTTATAGGGAAGAACTCATGTTGGGCCGTCGCATCATGTTGGGTCGTCACTCCGCGTGGCGATCAAGTGTGCTATGCGCGCTGCAAACAGACGTCAACAGCAACGCACGGTGGGGTTGAATTCGTGTTTTACGCAACCGTTAATTAACGACCCAACATGATGTGTTTAATACAAAATTGCGACAAAACTAAACAAGATAGAAAATTGGTTTCAAATAGAGAGTTGTAGAGCGCATATTTTAGTAAGACAAAACATACACTTTATTACGTTTTTTTTTTTTAAATAATAAGGACCCGTGGGAAAACACATCTAAACATTTATCCCTAAAATGTGTTTAAATGTAGTTTACTTAAATTAGAAATTTACTTCTATCGCCCCTTAAATTATTTGTATACATTATATATATAATCTTTTTCTGCTCTATTTTGCTCCTTTTAGGGATGGGTGGCATTCAGCTCTCAAGGTGATCGTATAGCTTTAACACAAATTGAACAGATGATTGACGGGAAGTACTTCAAATTAGGATATTATGACACACAAGCCGACAATCTCACATGGTTCATCACGGAAAAGTGGGACGGTGGAAAGGTGAGTATCGTACGTATATTTCTTTTTAACTCTATACCTAAACTAGAAAGCGCTTTGTAAACCCGTTTGAAAAAAATTCAACCAGTCTTAATGAAAAAGAAGCACTTTTAAAAGTTTGATACTTATCAAGTTGAATCTAACACACACTATGACCACTCTTACTTATACGCCTTGTAAAATGCATCAATACATTTGCCAATTTCTAATTACCCGATTTTTAATTAATTGAAAATATACAAGAAACTGATTTATATTTCACTGTCTCAACACGCTTATACGTTCATTTTTAAATTTCAGCGGCGCCGGTGGTGTAGTGGTAAGCGTGATTACTTCTTACCCCAGCAGGCCTGGGTTCAATCCCAGTCGGCGCCGCCGCGAAACTGACAACGCTCGTGATCCATAACATATTTAAGCCCCAACCAAGTAACATTAAATGCGGCAAGGTGGCAACAAATGTAATGCCTTCAAAACCATTCTTACTTTCCCGCAATGGACAATTGAAAAATGATTTAGTTGTTTCGAATTGACGAGCACAATTAGCGTGAATCATGCTTTCCTATAACGTTAACTAGAAAACTCTATAGGGCCACCCACATTAGATCCGTTTGCGTTGCGTTGACGTTAATTTGACAGTTAGACAATAGATTAGCTGTCATTTTACCGCAACGCGTCCGATCCGGATCTAATGTGCGTGGGCCTTATCTATTTTCCGCAACGCAGCGCGACATGTACCAAGCTTAATCATGCACGGTAATTCTAGAATACTCCTTTTATGACTATGTTTTACACATTTTCGAGAATACGGTTTATGCGTCAAAAAATGTTTAGATTTTAGTTACAACTGGAGAGTACTTTTTATGCATTTCCGAGTATGTCAACGACGAACAAAAATGTGTAAAAAGTAGTCGCCGCTGAGAAAAGAAAATTTATGCCGCGACGTGCCGCCATTTTCAAAACAGCGTTCATTGGAAAAGCAGCGTTTTAATTCTGTTCCCGGTCCCGGATTATTTCTGTAAAAGTGTCAGCGGTGGGTCAATGGAAAATGGAGGAATTGTCCAAAACTTTGGAACAGGACGTATTCACGAAACTGGCAGGTAATTAAAGCATTTACTTTTATTGTTAACCAAATAAAAAAATTTAATCGAATAAAAAAGGACATCGAGTATTCATTACGTGTTAAATGACATTTTCATCTAAATGTAGATCATGTCCGTGGATGCCTCCGAATCATTGGACAACTGTTCAGAAAAGGCGTTAAAAACGGCCAAACGTGATGCATTGGGAGTCGAGGAGGAGTTGGCAGCACCGTTGATTCGATGGATTGGTGTAAGTGTTTTGACGATTGATGCGAATAAAATCTGGAAAGGATTTATTCCATTTAATTAAATAAATAAATATTACTGTTAAAATTCTTACGCATTTTTATTCAATATTTGAAACGAACTTGAAATAAAAAATTTGTTTTATCCTAGGTTTAATTTTTATTTTCAATGTATAAACTATGCATTTAACTATGCATGTGGGAGTATAAATAACGCATTTATACTTTGTTCGGGGTGGGTGTCAAAACTACGTATTTTTAAGTTTACTATGTGGTGTTAAAAGTATGCATATTCTGACGTACATTCAATTTACGCAAAATAGAGTAAAAACAGTATACTCTTTTATTGGGTAGTCCCATTTTCCAAAGAAAGACCGTACTTTATAGTCATAAGAGAGTTTGTTGTGATTACCGTGTAGAGGAAAAAAATGAGCTGTCAAATTAGCACCACACGGTGTTTCGTGAAAAACCCATTAATGCATTAGCATTAGCATTATTGACCGCCCACGGTTGCTACTCTGTTATTACCAGATCAGCTGCAATTACACAGAGAACCAACAGATGATGTTTGGGACTAACATTCATCCTCAATATGTAAAAACTGAAGATCTAATATTTAGCAATACCAGCGCCGGCCGTGTCCGAATGCAGGTCCAATAGGGAATGGGAAGGAATGTGTTGACGTGATACTCGCTGTGAAGGAAACCGAGAAATCCTCTGCGCTTCCACGAGAAATCACTGGGATGTTGGATGTGGGGAAAGGTATGCAGCAGCCGGGATCGTTTTTGGTAAACTAATGCTGATTGTAGTGATTTATAATAGGTACACAAACACAAAAACGGGCGCATACACACGCACACACACTCGCACTCGTGAGAATAAACAGAATATAAAATGATATTAACTTTATTTTAACTTAGCTTTAACATAACTTCAACTTAACTTTAACTTAACTTTAACATAACTTCAACTTAACTTTAACTTAACTTTGACTTAACTTTAACTTAACTTTAACTTAACTTTAACTTAACTTCAACTTAACTTCAACTTAACTTTAACTTAACTTTAACTTAACTTTAACTTAACTTTAACTTAACTTTAACTTAACTTTAACTTAACTTTAACTTAACTTTAACTTAACTTTAACTTAACTTTAACTTAACTTTAACTTAACTTAAACTTAACTTTAACTTAACTTTAACTTAACTTTAGCCTAACTTTAACTTAACTTTAACTTAACTTTAACTTAGCTTTTACTTAACTTTAACTTAACTTAACTTTAACTTAACTTTAACTTAACTTTAACTTACCTTTAACTTAACTTTAATTTTACTTTAACTTCTGTAGGCTAGTTCATCTCTAAGCTGAAAAAGTGAATATTTATAATATAAATGCAAAATTCAATAATATAAATGAAATATTATAATATAATCCTAGAGGTGTTTCATCATCGAAGAGCTGAAAGCAAGCTTAAATAATTAAAATCGATACATCCCGCATGAATGAAAACTGAAAAAAGTGTATTATTATTTTGTAAATCTAATGATGTCATATATTCAAATATTCAACGATCTGAAAATAAACTTATCTTATTTGGTGTTTCGTGAAAAACCCATTAATGGGTAAAAAATGGGGGAGTTTTGAAATCATAAAATGGGTGAAAAATACCCATTTAAAGAATCAGTTCACGGTTGAATAATGGGTATATTTTTTACCCACTAATGGGTGAAAAACACTTCGAAATTGTATCGTCTCATTTCCGTCACCGATTCATTGGGAATGCAAACAGTTACTGTCCGCAGCATATTAAGCGAATATAGACGATCTCCGGTGAAGGTTGGAGTGGCCTACGGATAAGTTTATACAAATTATAAAAAAAAAAATATAGTTAAATTTAATCGGACACCTGCATTTATTTTCAATGTATTAGAATTTTTTTTATTCTTTATTTAGGAGATTTCCAGCCGTAGGCTGGTTCATCTCCGGACTATTAGATTTTTTTTTATATCAACGAGGACAAATAACCAAGCGTATGTATTTTTCACCCATTTTACGGTAAACACAATTTAAGAAAATGTGTAAAAAACACCTATTTAATGACAGACCACCCATTTACCCATTAATGAGTAAACCATAGTTTACCCATTTAATGAGGAGGGGCACTTTTAGCGGAAATGGGTATTTTATACCCATTAATGGGTTTTTGCGAAACACTGTGCACACGCTAATTGAAAAGTCCAAATTACCATTTTTTAAGTTATTCAAAAATGTCAAAAATGGGTATTTTTGAAAACCGGAAAGCGGGTACTTTTTCCCCATTTTTGGATATATCTACTGCAAAAAAAAGGGTAAAAATGTACATTCAATTATTGTCAAGACATCTTTGGTGAACTGGAAGCGCAAAGTGTTTTATCATTTTTAACAACCAAACGTTATGATCATTCGTTAATTTCACGTGCATCGATTACGTGATGATACGACGGAGTATAAAATTGTTTTCCAACCGAGCTGACCGATGTTGATTGACGTGACAATGTTTATTTAACAACAATGCTGCGGCTGCGAGTTTAATTGTTTGCGTCACTTTCCATAACAAATCTGAAGAACAGCACAGCATTCCTGGACATGATCTGATATCGTGGTAAGAATTGTATGTGTAATTATGATGAAAATTGTATTTGTTCTAAGTATGAGTTCCGTTTCAGGTTAGCAATGATTTTCAAAGAGGAAGAAATGACGTTTACAGAAGGGTCCGAACAAGCTGAATGAGCAGTAAATCTCGTAGACCGATTCCCAGTGGATGCTATTGATTATTTGTGTGATATTGTGCTAATAGTTATGTCCAATAAAGAGTATGAATTGTTTTTATAGGATTTCAGGTTTTCTTAAAGAAATACATCGGTTTGATGACAGGTATTCCCATGAAGCAAAAAGTAAATCAATAAAATGGGTACTCTTCATACATTTCCGAAAAAGCAAGAAGGGTACAAAATACCCATTTTTGACGTATTCGTTTACTAATCATTAATGATTAAAACCGGTTTTACTCATTTCATGAGTTAAGCCACTTTGCTTGAAAACGAGTAATTTTTTTTTTTTCATTAATGGGAACTTTGGAGTTAGCGTGCAGGGCACCAGAGGAATACACGGCGAATGAGAACAACCCAAATTTGAGTTTAGTTCACTCTTAATCGCCAAAAGTGCAGGAACTCAGCGATGAGTAAATTTGCCTCATGTTTTCCCAGGATTTTCCAGGGAAAAATTCCCGAATTTGAGAATAGTAAAGATTGGATTCACTCAGTCTATTGTAGTACCAATGAATACCAAATCCGAAGCTGAATAAAATTTTCGTCAATTTCCTCATTTTCCGGCAGATTTTTTAGGTTTTCCACAGGAAACCATGACACAAATTTTAGTCATCGCTGAGTTCCTGCACTTTTGGTGATTATGAGTGAACTAAATTCAAATTTGGGTCGTTCTCATTCGCCGTGTACGAGAAATTTCACTCGAGTTGTTCGCAGATGACAGGCGTTGCAGTCCTGTGCGTCGGCGTCACTTGCGCTGGACGCGGGTGACTGATGAGTGCGATGAATGGCGCAACAGGTGGGTGTCCCATTACAAATTTCCCTTCTCGTCCATGATCCGGTGGTGGGTGTTGTTTTTTGTATCCTAAGTGTAGGTGTATAAC